GCTCACGCCTGTAATCCCAGCACTTTGGGAGGCTGAGATGGGCGGATCACGAGGTCAAGAGATGGAGACCATCCTGGCCAACATAGTGAAACCCTGTCTCTACTAAAAATACAAAAAAATTAGCTGGGCGTGGTGGCGCACGCCCGTAGTCCCAGCTACTCGGGAGGCTGAAGCAGGTGAATTGCTTGAACGCGGGAGGTGGAGGTTGCAGTGAGCCGAGACTGCGCCACTGCACTCCAGCCCGGCGCCTGTCGACAGAGGGAGACTCTGTCTCAAAAAGAAAAAAAAAGTTTGTATTTTTTTTCTCAGTTCTTTAATAATTAGTACTCTTGGCTGGGCACAATGGCTTATGCCTGTAATCCCAGCATTTTGGGAGGCTGAGGCGGGCTGGACACCAGGTCAAGAGATCGAGACCATCCTGGCCAACATGGTGAAACCCTGTCTCTACTAAAAATACCAAAATTAGCTGGGCGTGGTGGTGCACACCTGTAGTCCCAGCTACTTGGGAGGCTGAGGCAGGAGAATTGCTTGAACCCAGGAGGTGGAGGTTGCAGTGAACCAAGATCGTGTCACTGCACTCCAGCCTGGCAACAAAGGGAGACTCTGTCTCCAAAAAAAATAACAATAATAATTAGCACTCTCTCCATCCTGAGATAAGGATGGTCACTTTTATTATTTTTTGTTTTGTGCTCTTTTTCTTGAGACAGGGTTATGACGCTGGAATGCAGTGTCATCATTGCTCACTGTAGCTTTGACCCCTGACTCTCAGTTGATCCTCCTGCCTCAGCCTCCTGAATAGCTGGGACTATAGACACATGTCAGCACACCCACATAATCTTTGTATTTTTTTGTAGAGACAAGGTTTTGCTGTGTTGCCCAGGCTGTTCTTGGACTCCTGGACTCAAGCGATCTGTCTGCCTTGGCCTCCCAGTTTTGCTGGGATTATACGCATGAGCCATCATACCCGGCCTGTTTTGTGCTTTCACTTTTTTTGTTTATTGGTTTCATTATTATTATTTTTTGAAACAGAGTCTTACTCTGTCACTCAGGCTGGAGTGCAATGGAGTGATCTAGGCTCACTGCAACCTCTGCCTCCCAGGTTCAAGTGATTCTTGTGCCTCAGCTTCCTGAGGAGCTTAGATTATAGGCTTGCATCACCACATCCGACTAAGTTTTTTATTTTTATTTTGTATTTTTATGTTTTTTGAGTTGGAATCTTGCTATGTTGCCCAGGCTGGAGTGCAGTGGTGCAATTTTGGCTCACTGCAACCTCTGCCTCCTGGGTTCAAGCAATTCTCCTGCCTCAGGCTCCCAAGTAGTAATCCCAGAGTAGCTAGGATTACAGGCTTGTACCACCACACCTGATTTTCAGTAGAGATGGGGCTTCAACATGTTGGCCAGGCTGGTCTCAACTCCTAATCTCAAGTGATCTGCCCACCTCAGCCTCCCAAAGTACTGGGATTACAGGTATGAGCAACTGTGCCTGGCCTAAGGGGTTTCACCATGTTAACCAGGCTGGTCTCAACTCCTGACCTCAAGTGATCTGCCCATCTCAGCCTCCCAAAGTACTGGGATTACAGGTATGAGCAACTGTGCCTGGCTTAAGGGGTTTCACCATGTTAGCTAGGCTGGTCTCAACTCCTGATCTCAAGTGATCTGCCCACCTCAGCCTCCCAAAGTGCTGGGATTATAGGTGTGAGCCACCATACCTGGCCTGTTTAATTTTTTTTTTTTTCTGTGCTCTGGTGTTGAAATTGATTTTTTTTCTTTTTTTGAGACAAGATCTGGCTCTATTGCCCAGGCTGGAGTGCAATGGCATGATCTTGGCTCATTGCAACCTCTGCCTCCTGGGCTCCCTCCCACCTAAGCCTCCTGACTAGCTGAGACTACAGGTGCGTACCACCACACAAGGATACATATTTGTATTTTTTGTAGAAATGGGGTTTTCTCCATGTTGTCCTGGTTGGTCTCAAACTCATAAGCTCAAGCAATCCACTCACCTCAGCCTCCCAAAGTGCTGAGATTACAGGTGTGAGCCACTGTGCCCAGCCTTTTCTATTTTATTTTATTTTATTTTTTTAAAGACGGGGTTTCACCATGTTGGTCAGGCTGGTCTTGAACTCCCGACCTCACGTGATCCACCCACCTTGGCCTCCAAAGTGCTTGTATTACAGGTGTGAGCAACCATGCCCAGCCTTCTTTCTTTTTTTTTTTTTTAAGAGACATGGTGTCATGCTGTCACCCAGGCTGGAGTGTAGTGGCGTGATCATAGCTCACTGCAGCCTCCAACTCCTAGGCTCCAGCTATTCCTCCCACTTCAGCCTCTGGAGTAGCTGGGATTATAAATGTGAGCCACTGTACCCAACTTTTGTGCCTTTACTTTTTACAACTAATTCTTTATGCAGAAGTCATTAGAGTACACTGTAAAGTGAGGCTCTAACTTAACTTTTTCCAAATGGCTAACCAGTTGGCAGAGAATCATTTATTGAGTAAATCTTAATTACTCTATTGCTTTGTCTCTGGAGTATCTATTCTATTATACAGATCTCTTTTTTTGTTAGTTTTTTGAAACAGGGTCTCTCTCCTGTCACCCAGGCTGGAGTCTAGTGGTGTGATCTTGGCTCACTGAAGCCTTGGCTTTCCAGGCTCAGGTGATCCTCCTACCTTAGCCTCCTGAGTATCTGGGACTACAGGCGTATGCCACCATGCCCAGTCAATTCTTTCTATTTTTAGTAGAGACAAGGTCTTGCCATGTTGCCCGAGCTGGTCTTGAACTCCTGGGTTCAAGCGATCTGCCTGCCTTAGCCTCCCAAAGTGCTAACATTACAGGTGTGAGCCACCATGCCTGTCCTTACAGATCTCTTTATACACCCTAGTACTACACAGTTGGAAATACTATTGCTTTATAAGCATTCAGAGGCTGTATCTATCTTGCTCATCATTGCATCCCTGGAACCTAGCATAATGCATGGAACTGAGCAGGCACTGAATAAGTGTTTCTGACTTATGAGGTAAAGGTTATTGTCATGCTAAAGTGGGAAGCGGAACACACCCTCTGGAATGGATGCGCTCCAAGTCAGGACCTCTGCCTAAGTGACTGTTGGGCCACCAAGCTTGGGCCTTTAAATGTGCTCTAAGCCAAGAAGACAGGGTAATAAACATTCTTTTCCAGAAAACTTTCTCAAAGAGAAAAATATCTTTATCACCTGCTGGTCAACTATACTGCTTGTTAAATACTGGAACAAAGTGAATCTGATGTTTCCTTTAAGATGACAAAAAGTAGTTATTGTTTTCTAATATTCTTGAGTCCACTTCCCCTCCTCATAAGGCCTGGTGTCCTCATTCTGAACTCCAAGGGTTGCAGTCTAGATTTGGAAGTAAATAAGCTGAAGGAGATGGGGCTGAATGTTACTGAACCCAATGCATCCCCAGAAATTAAATCTCCAATTCCTGATATTAGCTTTTTGCCCCCATTATTTGGCCTCATTCAACATATAAAGCTGAGTTCAAATACTACTTCCTAGGAAAGACTTTCTTGTTCTCTCTCAACCTCCTTACTATCCTCTATTACACCACTTATTCTATCATATGTGAGCTATTTGTAGATTTCCCTATTAAACTGGTAGGTCCTTGCTGGGCGTGGTGGCTCACGCATGTAATTGCAGCACTTAGGAGGCCGAGGTGGGAGGATCACCTGAGGTCAGGAGTTGGAGACCAGCCTGACCAACATGGAGAAACTCTGTTTCTACTAAAAATACAAAAAAATTAGCCAGGCATGGTATTGCATGCCTATAATTCCAGTTACTCAGGAGGCTGAGGCAGGAGAATCACTTGAACCAGGGAGTTGGAGGTTGTAGTGAGCCAAGATCGCATCATTGCACTCCAGCTTGGGCAACAAGAGAGAAACTCCATCTCAAAATAAATAAATAAACTGGTAGGTCCTCAAGATTAGGGGCTGTATCTGTACTTCCAGTATCTAGTGTAAGATCTGGTAGCTGGTTAAGTTTCAGTAAATGTTTACTGAATTAAATCTGCAAAAGAAACTCTGCTTAAATGAGAGCTCCAGTGATTTATATCTCAATCAGTGAATAGTAGAATCTCAGGGCAAAAAGGAGCCCTAAAAATCTTCTTGTGTAACCCCTTTTACAATGCTGAATTCCCTGCAAAATACCCTTGTGTCAAGGAGTTATCCAGACTCCATCTGAACTTAGTGATGGGATGTTTATTACCTCTAGAATTAGCTTGCTTCATCACTGATAGGCTCGGAGTTTAAGCTTTACCTTCAGTTTAGCAAAAATGTACCTTCCATTAGCTTCCATCCAGAACAAGTCTATTAATCTTCTTTCATGTGACAGCCATATATTTCAAGATGGGTCATGTTTCTCAAGTCTTCTCTTTTTCAGGAAAAGCATCTCCAGTCTTCCAAATGTGACTCACATAATGTGGCTTTGACTTCTTTCTCTGTACTCCAGGGGTAGCCTGACTACTGCAGAGCTAGGCAGGACTATTGTCCCCCTTGTCCTTTAACCTATATTTATATTAGTTCACACAGCTCAAGGTATAGTCATTTTGAGTGGCTTCAGCACATAGTTGACTAAACTCCCTTAATCTTTTTTATACAAGCTCTTACTAAGCAGACTCCTTTATCCCTCATCCTGAGGCCATGCAATTGGTACTTTTATAACTCACTGAAGTATTGGTATATTCTATTAAATTTCATTTCGTTAGATTTGACCATTGCGCTAACACCATCCAGAACTCTAGGAATCCTGGCTCTGCCATTCAAAACTAACCTTCCCTGTTTTGTGTCCCCTGCAAATATGGTGAGCAAGCAATTCAGTGACAAATGCCAAATGGACCAAAACCTTGTGACAGGCCATCAGAGCCCTCCTCCCAAATCCATCATTGCCTCTGTACTTTCCCAGTACCCAGCTAGTGTTTGTGTGCTATTCCTGCTTTTACCATGTAAAATCAGGCTACTGTTCTACCTGATAACTTACTTCCAAACTGGAAGGCCTTGTCTTCATCAGCTCATCCCAGAGTCGGCGCCAGATGGCCTGAGTGGAGAGGCCTGTAGGGAGAAATATCACACTTGGCTGCTTGCTGGCTACCATAAGTAAAGTACATCAACCTTTCATGTTGTCCTCTGGGTTCACAGGAGCAATATGGCAGAGTGATCAAGAGCACTGGCTCTAAAGACTGATTGCCTGGGTGTGAGTATCAGCAAACTACACTCTAGCTATGTGACTTTGGGCAAGTTACTTAATTTGTCTGTGGTTCAGGTTCCTCATCAGTAAAATGTAGTTAGTAACAGCTACTTCATAGGGTTGTTGAAAAGATTACAGTAAGGGCCGGGCGCGGTGGCTCAAGCCTGTAATCCCAGCACTTTGGGAGGCTGAGGCGGGTGGATCACGAGGTCAAGAGATCGAGACCATCCTGGTCAACATGGTGAAACCCCGTCTCTACTAAACTACAAAAAATTAGCTGGGCATGGTGGCGCGTGCCTGTAATCCCAGCTACTCAGGAGGCTGAGGCAGGAGAATTGCCTGAACCCAGGAGGCGAAGGTTGCGGTGAGCCGAGATCGCGCCATTGCATTTCAGCCTGGGTAACATGAGTGAAACTCCGTCTCAAAAAAAAAAAAAAAAAAAAGATTACAGTAAATGAGTTTCTCTGGATAAAGTGCCTAGGACAGTGCCTGGCACATTAGGGTTAAATATTAGCTGTTAACAGCTGTGTCTAATGAGGGGAGGAAGCTTGGTAAAATAGAAAAACTAAGATTCAGAAGATCTAGGTCCTCATTCTGGCTTTGTTATTAATTGTGGTGTGCCTGTGTCTCACTTTTATCAGTATAATAAAGATCATCTACTTGGCTTTGTGTTTCACAGGACACTGAGGAATGAGGAAGAAAAACAGGTGTGAGGGTACTTTTTGAAAAGCATGAAGTTCTAGCAGGTATTAGGTATAATATTTACCTGAAGAACATTATGGTGCCTTGTTCATAATCATTAACTGAGAAAGAGACAGAGAGATACTCACCTTTCTTGAGGGCAGTTTCCTCAATTCTTTCCAAGTAATATATATTGAGCAGAGGTAGGATACTTTGAAGTATTGGGCCTGGGAGGGCTACAAAAATCAAAACAAAAGTTTACTTTCCCTCCCCTCCCCCACCCACCCAAGAGGGTTCCAAACATTATTTATTCTACTGGAAAGGAAAATGGAAGGGTGGACTTCTCATTTGACAAATGGAACCTCTAGAAGCTAATCTAGGTCTCTTCCAAACTCTGGTCCACTTATCTTCAGCCACTCAGTTGGAAGCTGGAATTTCAGAAGTAAGGGTGAAATAATCCTACAAAACAAGCTGACATGCTAAATGAGCTTGACATGCTTATTTAAGAGCTGGTCAGTTCACTTCTGCCCAAGCAAATGAAGCATTCAGCATTGAAAAGGACCTACTGAATAAGTGTGATAAAAGATCTTTCATAATCTGCCTTGCTAATATCAGCTCCCTGCTTTGCCTCCTACATTTCGGCCACACTTAACTGCTTTTTCATTTACCTAACATATTATGCTGCTTTCTGCCCCTGTACCTTTGTCACACTGTTCTCTCCAACAGGAATGTCCTTTGTCATGCTGTTCTAACAGGAATGTCGTTGCCACTTTCAGTATATCAACTACTCATCTTTCAAGTATCACATGTCCTTTATTAAGTCTTTCCTGAATTCCCTTCCCAGATTAACCACCACCATCCTTTGGGCTACTGTTATACCCTGAACTAGTACTTTCCTATGAAGAATAGAAACAATTTGTCTCTAAAGTCAATATATATTTTTTTGTGTTTTTTTGAGACAGAGTCTTGCTCTGTCGCCAGGCACCAGGCTGGAGCGCAGTGGTGCAATCTCGCCTCACTGCAATTTCCGCCTTCTGGGTTCAAGAAATTCTCCTGCCTCAGCCTCCCAAGTAGCTGGGACTACAGGCGCAGGCCACCACGCCCAGCTAATTTTTGTTTTTAGTAGAGAAGGGATTTCACCCTGTTGGCCAGGATGGTCTCGATCCGCCTGCCTCGGCCTCCCAAAGTGCTGGGATTACAGGCGTGAGCCACCGCACCCAGCAGAAAGTCAATGTATCTTAAAAACAAAACCTTAAAAACAAAACAAAACCTTCTCTAGTTCTAAGAGCCACTATAGTACAATGTCTAAAGGGTTTGGCCTCTAGAGTAGGACATCTGGGTGAAATCCTGACTACTTAGTTAAATGTGAATCCTTGGACAAATTATTTAAGCCTCTTTAAGGCTCAGTTTCTTCAACTGGAAAAAATAGAGGCCAGGCACAGTGGCTCACATCTGTAATCCCGGCACTTTGGGAGGCTAAGATAAGAGGATCACTTAAGCCTAGGAGTTTGAGCTATAGTAAGCTATGATCAAACCACTTCACTTGAGCCCAGGTGACAGAGTGAGAACTCCATTTCAAAACAAAACAAAAATTAGCAGGGTGTGATGGTGTGCACCTGTGGTCATAGCTATTTGTGAGGCAAAAGTGGGAGGACTGCTGGAGTCCAGGAAGTGAGGGCTGCAGTGAGCTGTGCCTGGACCACGGCACTCCAGCCTGGGTGACAGAGCAAGACCGTGTCTCAAAAAATAAATAGGCAGGGCGCAATGGCTCACACCTGTAATCTCAGTACTTTGGGAGGCCAAGGCAGGCAGATCACTTGAGGTCAGGAGTTTGAGACCAGTTTGGTCAACATGGTGAAACCCTGTCTCTACTAAAAATACAAAAACTAGCTGGGTGTCATGGCGCACGCCTGTAATACCAGCTACTTGGGAGGCTGAGGCATGAGAATCACTTGAACCCAGGAGGTTGCAATGAGCCGAGATTGCACTACTGCACTCCAGTCTGGGCGACAGAGCAAGACTCTGTCTCAAAAAAATAAAATGAAATGGAGAGAAGAGTAATTAACTCATGACATTGTTGTGAAAATCATGCTTGTAATCTGTTTAAAACAATGCCCGGCCATAATAAGCTCACTAAATGTTGGTTTTTATTATTTTTACCCTGTCAGTGCCATCTCTGTTCGATCAAGAACAGGTTAAACTCACACCTGGAATCCCTGTAATCTTTGGGAGGTCAAGGCAGGGGAGATTGCTTAAGCCCAGGAGTTTGAGACCAGCCTGGGTAATATGGCAAGACCCATCGCTACCAAAACTACAAAAAAAAATTAGCCAGGTGTTGTGGTGCCTGCCTGTGGTCCCAGCTACTCAGGAGGCTGAGGTGGGAGAATTGCTTGAGCTCAGAAGGTGGAGGTGGCAGTGACCTGATATCATGCCACTACACTCCAGCCTGGGTGACAGAGTGAGACCCCATCTCAAAGAAAAAGAACAAGTCTAACATCTTGGAGTACACCAAAACTTTCCCTCCAGGATCTCTTTTTATCTTTACTTTTAGAATAAATGAATCTTGATATATGAGAATCTAGTATAATTCTTTGTACACAGTAGGTCCTCGATGTACCTGCTGAGTGAAAGTGTTAATTCCCTATGCTTTTACACACGAATGTAGTCTACATCACCTTTCATCTGGACTATGACAACAGCCTAACTGCTCTCCTTCACCTCAGTCTCTAACCAGTCCCTCTTCACCCTGCTCTTGGTGATGACATTATCCTCTTCAAAACCCTTGGAGGTCTCTCTACTGCATTCATGATAAAGTCCAAACTCCACATCCTGGTATTCAAGGTATAATATACCTTATTCTACTTTAGTTTCCTCATTGTACCGTTTCCTGCTGTCTCTATACACCCCACTGCCCCGACTCCTTAACAAAGCGATGCTAGTCCACTACCTCCAGGAAGCCTTTCCTGGCTGTTAGCCCACACTGAGACCTTCCTCCAAAATGGCAATGCTTAGCAGGCCTCTTCCTCGGCTATTCTCCTAAGAGGCCTTACTTGATTCAGCTTTTTCTGTGTGACTCTTTACCCGGTCTAGGCCCACAGGAGCTCTTCCTCCCCTGTCTCCTCTTAACCTGGCTGGGGACTCAGCCAGTAATGGGGAGGTGGTATGTACAGCAGTGGTGGGGGAGGGAGAAGAGCAAAGGAGATTCAGTAAATCATCAATTGTTTTTGCGGGAAAAGGCAACACAGGAAGAAATTCCTCCAGAGCCTTACCCCTTTTCCCTCCAACCTGCTCCCCTCTAGTTAGCCATCCCTTCTCGCAGTTACAGGAATTCTCATCCCCTGTTACCCACAAACCTCCCTCTTCCTTTCTCCATTCTTCTTAAGCTCGGCTTGTCTTTGCTTATTTCCAGCCTGCACCTTTAATGCTACTTGTTCCCAACCTAGGGCCTCCACGCCCAGTCACTTTCCTTTTTAGCGAGTCTTAGCATCCCAGAAGCTCCAGGCGGACAAGCCAGACCCTCTCGGCCTTCTTCCCCATGCCCTAAGACTTTTCTGAGCTCCCCGCTCAACTCCACGGAAACTCCTCCCGCTCCCCAAGGGACGGCCTGACCCTTGTTTTCTCGGCCGCTGGCTGGCCGGGGGCCTCCACCGTCCCCGGCCCTCCACTGTACCGTCTGCACACCGGCCCGACTTCTAACAGCCTCTCCCGCTGCCACTACGCAGGACACTCGGGCGTCCGGGTACTGGGCTCCATTCCCACAGCGAAGGGCCTCGCCGACCACCCTCCAGCTTATCCCAGAGTTGCAGCACGCCAAACTCCAGGGCCTTTTCCCCACGCCCCTTCCTCATGGTATAACTCAAGCCCCGCGCCCTGCAACCTCGAACCCTCAAAGCCCTCAGTCCTGTCCCGACCTGGGCCTTCCTCTTGCAAAGACGCCACGGCCACCCGCAAGGCCTCCTCGTGGAACCTCCCCCGCGCCATCTCCAGGCCCGGGGCCTGCTCTCCTGCCACCCTCCCCCGCAGGCCTCGGCCGGGCCTGCCACCTCCTCGCCCAACTCCAGCCCGGGCCTCCGGACCCCACCCTCACACCACCAGCCTGTCAGGCCCGAGGCCTCCCCTGTCCCTGCGTGGCCAGGCCTGCTTGGCAGAGCCTCTTTCCCCTCTTTCACTCGCCCCACGGTGCGGACCCAAGTTTCCCTCGTCAGCTGCCAGGCCGCGGCCGGTGGTCCCCAATCCACAGCCCCGCCTCCCAGCCCAACTGGCCGGTTCGCCCTCCCCGGCCGTTCATCCCGGCGCCCCAGGCCTCCCTCTACCCAGGCCCGGCCCTTCGGTCCCGGCCGCCCTCAGGCCTGGGGCCTCCGTTCACTCCCATTCAGCCCAAGGCCTCTTAGCTGCGGCGCGCCCCCTTCCCCGGCACCCGGCAGTCCGGGATCCCCGGGCAGTCGCCGCGCTTGAGGCCTCCTCGGCCCTTCCCGCCTGCCAGTCATTCGAGCCTCCCTCGCTTGCTGAGCCGCTCCGGGCCCCCACTCCACTCGCTCTGCCGCCCCTCCTCACCGCTCGAGTCGATGCGAGGGGCCTCCAGCGGCCTCCTGTCCTCCGGGTCGCTCGGTTGCTCAGTCAGTTTGGCCACCGAGACCCCGGTCGCTCCCGTCAGCCCTGGGCTATCAGACAGGCCGCGGCGCCCCGAGCCTCTCGGCCTCTCCCCCCACTGCCCCGTTCCCTCGCTCTGCAATCCGCTGTCCTCCCCTCCGCCCATCGGCTTGGCCTCCGAAGTCTCGAGCCCCGTGGCGTGTCAGGCAGACACTGGAGGCCCCGGGCCATCAGCCAGGTTCGGTGGCCCCGGGCCTGGCCTCCTGGCCTTAGGCCGGACCGCACAACTTCGGCCCCTGCCCTAGGGCAGCCAGGCCATTGCTGCCGGCCGGTTCGACACCCGACACTCCTCAGCCCGGCCCAGCCAAGTGTCAGTTCGCTGCCCACAGCTCCAGCCCGCCAGTCCAGCCTCAGTCGCCCGGGCCCTGCCTGCTTCGCCCCAGACCGGGCCTCTTGGCCTCGCCCCCCGCGCCCCCAAGCCAGGCCGCGGTGCGGGTCAGTCTGCCCATTAGGTCTCCGTCTTTACTCTGTCCAGCTCTGTCAGTCACAAAATTCATCCTCGGATCCCACGATCTGGCTTCCAGTGCCCCAGGCTGGGCCTTGCCCCGGGCCTCCCGGCCTCGCCCCCCGCGCCCCCCGGCCGCTGGGCCGCCCTCGCTCTAAGCCAGAGGTAGCCCCTCACCCCGCGACTTACCCCACACCCCGCTCTCCAGAACCCCCATATGGGCGCTCACCGCCCGCCCGCACAGCTCGAACAGGGCGGGGGGAGCGTTGGGGCCCGAGGCCGAGCTCTTCGCTGGCGCCGCCTCCCGGGACGTGGCCTCCATGGTCGTTGCCGCCGCTACCTCACAGAACCAGCAACTCCGGGCGCGCCAGGCCTCGGGCGCCGCCATCTTGGGGAGGTGCGCGAGCCCGAGAGTGTCGCCCGCGGACCGCCATCTTGAAAAGGTCAGCAGTTAGGACGGCTCCATAAGCAATATGGGGAAGACTGTAAATTATGCTAAAGGAATTTTGAAGAAGCAAGCACACCTTCCAAGTCTCTTAGGAGCTACTATTTTAAATAAAGTCGTAGATCTATATACTTGGGTCTTCTCTGACTAAAGGGGTGTTTCTTTGCAAAGCCTCCTCAGATGCAAACATCAGCTACCCCTAAACCCTGCCGCTGGCTGGTAGTACATGCCAATCTGAGCATGTGTTCGCGACCACGATGAGTATGCCGCACTTCCGGCCAGGTCGCCGGATATCCGCTGAGTGACCCTTACAAGTCCTTCTTGATCCTGAAGTGGATTAGGTGCCGCTCTTGTTGCTCGTGTTGAATCCAGAACCGTAGCTAGACATGGGACTGGAGGACGAGCGAAAGATGCTGACCGACTCTGGAGATCCTAAGGAGGTAAGGCAAAGCGATCCACTGGACCCTTTTCTCTGCCCTGAGGCCCAGGACCTAGCCGGCCCAAACACGCACGGGCCCTCTTATCCCCCAATTTACCCTCAAGGGTTTGCAGGGTCGGGAGCTCTGGTTCCCTCGAACTTTCCCCAGAATTCGTCTGGTGACTTTGGACAGATAGATGACTAGTTTTTCTCTGGGCCTCGGCTTCTCCATCTGCGAATGTAGTGAAGGTTTGAGAACGAAAATGTTGTGTGGACTAAACTTCTGTAAAAATATGACCTGTGTTTGCAGTTAGTCAGATATTCTGAAACCCGCGTTTGACAGGTTTGGGTAGCATACAGACCACCTTGCCTTAGCTCCGGTCAGGAACCCCTAACACATCTATGGAAGTTCGGGAGACCTGGCCTTGTGATTTATCTCTTTTTATTTGAGGAAGGTGTGTGTCTTTGAGGACAGTGAAGGAATGTACGGTGTGATTCTGTGATGGAGGAGGGAGCTCTTTCCCAGAGAAAGAGTGCTGCTATAATATTTATTTATTATTTATTTTTTTGAGACAGTCTCACTCTATTGCCTAGGCTGGAGTGCAGTGGCGCGATCTCGGCTCACTGCAACCTCCACCTCCTGGGTTCAAGCGATTCTCCTGCCTCAGCCTCCTGAGTAGCTGAGATTACTATACAGGTGTGCGTCACCACGCCCAGCTAATTTTTGTATGTTTAGTAGAGACGGAGTTTCACCGTGTTGTTCAGGCTGGTCTTGAACTCCTGACCTTGTGATCCCCAGACCTCGGCCTCCCAAAGTGCTGGGATTACTGGCGTGAGCCACCACGCCCGGCCATTAAGTATTTATTGGCTGCTTTGCTATCCAAGTGCTTTAAATGCAATAATTCATTTCTTTTCTTTTTTTTTTTTTTTTTCTTGTGACGGATCCTCGCTCTGTCGCCCAGGCTGGAGTGCTGTGGTGCGATCTCAGCTCACTGCAACCTCTGCCTCCTGGGTTCAAACGATTCTCCTGCCTCAGCCTCCCAAGTAGCTGGGACTACAGGTGCCTGCCACCACGCCCAACTAATTTTTGTATTTTTAGTAGAGATGTGGTTTCACTGTGTTGGCCAGGTTGGTTTCAAACTCCTGACCTCGTGATCTGCCCACCTCGGGCTCCCAAAGTGCTGGGATTACAGGCGTGAGCCACCGTGCCCGGCTCTAATTCATTTCATCTACACACTATTCCTATGAAGTAAGTGTTACGTACTGTTAGTGCCATTTTTACAGATGAGAAAACAAGCATAGAGGTTAAACATCTTGTCTAATGGCACACAGCTAACCAATTGGTGTAGCCAAGAATTGCCCCAAGCAGTGCAATTCTAAAACCAGGACTCCTACCCATTGTGCTACACAGCCACTAGTTGTTTCTAATCTCATTTCCTGCCTGTTTGTTCTCTGGTTACTTCAGGGCAGCCATTCTGGTCTATGGGTTCAGAATAATTAGAGACTTATTTATCCCTTAATTTTTCTAGTCTTATTATTTCTAGAAAGCAATGGAGCCTGAGGCCGGTCGCAGACGCTCATGCCTGTAATCCCAACACTTTGGGAGGCCGAGGTGGATGGGTTGCATGAGTCCAAGAGTTGGACCAGCATGGGCAGCGTGGCGAAACCCTGTATCTACAAAAAATACAACAATTAGCTGGGTGTGGTGGTGAATGCCTGTGGTCCCAGCTGCTCAGGTGTTTGAGCCCAGGAAGTCTAGGCTGCAGTGAGCCATGATTGCCATAACTGCACTCCAGCCCCGACAACTGGAGTAAGACCCTGTCTCAAAAAAAAAAGAAAGAAAAGAAAGAAGTGAATGGAGCTTGCCTCAGAAAGGTCGCAAGGTCTGCCACTGCAGTAGATGAGAAAAAGAAAGTAAATAAGCAGTCAATTTTAAAATTAAGAAAACCAGGGTATTCTATGAGGAGCCCATAATTCTTGAGGATTATATCTTTTTTATCTGGTGTGATCTTGGTTTTTCTCAGTGACTGGAAATTTTATATGTAGCAATCCATATTCAGACATATTTGGACTTATTTTTTCAAAACCTGCCATGATATTTTTGACACAAAATTATCAGTGATACACAATTACGAGTGTTGTAGCATTGCTAATAGGGAAATGATATAAGGGTCTTGCTTCTGAGAGAGTCCTAATATCTGGTTTCTGACTCAGGCAGAATGTGATTTTAGGATTTTTGGGAAAGCTTTTTCGGTATTTTTTTTTTTTTTGAGGTGGAGTTTTGCTCTTCTTGCCCAGACTGGAGTGCCGTGGTGCAGTCTTGGCTCACTGTCACCTCTGCCTCCCAAGTTCAGGTGATTTTCCTGCCTCATACTCGCGAGTAGCTGGGATTACAGGCATGCACCACCACACCCAACTAATTTTGTATTTTTAGTAGAGATAGGGTTTCTCCATGTTGGTCAGGCTGGTCTCGAACTCCTGACCTCAGGTGATCCTCCTGCCTCGGCCTTCCGAAGTGCTGCGATTACAGGCATGAGCCACTGTGCCTGGCCTTCAGTATGTTTTTTAAAAGAGCAGCATTAAGAAACCTTGCTTAATGAAAAACTAGAATTTACAGTCCAAATAGCATCTTCATATTTAGAGGAAACCTTTGCCAATTGTGAGAATAAATAGCCTGGATTACAGCTGAACCTGTCCTACCCGCTCACTCCCAGCTTGTTTGAGCTTTGGTGGCTTCACTGAATGGCATGGTAGAGAATGAAACATTGTATTGAGACTTTTGTTTGTTTGTTTGTTTGGAGATGGGATCTCACTCTTGTCACCCAGACTCGGGTGCAGTGGTGCAATTATAGTTCACTGCAGCCTCAAACCCCTGGGCCTCCCTCGACTTTCTGAGTAGCTGGGACCACAGATGTGCACCACCATGCCTGGCTAATTTTTGTTTCTTTGTTTTTGAGATAGAGTCTCTCTCTGTTGCCCAGGCTGGAGTGCAGGGATCTTGGATCACTGCAACCTCTGCCTCCTGGTTTCAAGTGATTCTCCTGCCTCAGCCTCCTGAGTTAGCTGGGATTACAGGCGTGTGCCACCATGCCTGGCTAATTTTTGTATTTTTAGTAGAGATGGGGTTTCCTCAGCCTCCCAAAGTGCTGGGATTATAGGCATGAGCCACTACACCTGGCTTATTTTTAATTTGTTTAGAGATGGGGTCTTGCCATGTTGCCTAGGCTGTTCTCAAGCAGTCCTCCCACCTCGGCCGCCAAACAGACTTGGATTATAGGCATGGGCCACCACACCTGGCCCTGTATTGGGATTTGATGATTGCTGAGCTAGTTCTTTTTATTTCCCTAGATGCTTTTCTTTCATTGCCCCAAAATGTGGACACCTGTATGCACAGGCAGGCAAACACCTTATTTCTGACAGGTATTGAGACCTTGGTTAGATTCTACTATACCCCAAATTTAGGCCTAAACTGTTGCTCCCATGGGGAATTTTTTACACTGTTCTCCTTAAAGAAGGAAACTAAGTTTGAGGTTGTATGTTTGACTCAGAAGTGAATAGGTGAGGTCTGTTCTGTATTTCCAAGCTCATGAGTGGTGTTGTGCACCCATGAACTTCGGTGCACTTTTGTGTGATACTTACTACTCAGGGTTCTGGGAGTTGAGCAAGCCAAAAAGCAGTGACTATAACCATCTTTAGTTAAGCTCTGACCAAAGAAGAGATTAAGTTTAGCTATTTTCAAGTTCACAGTCTAGAAAAAAATGCGTTTTCCTCCTAACTTGGTTTGGGATATAAGGACTAAATTTAGCTATTTGTAGCAATACTGGGACAAATACTTTACATTATATAGGTCCCATGTGAACATCTGGCAGCTTGAATCTGAATCAAAAAATGTCTAATTACTGTTTATTATCTCTAAACTGGGATTACTTCCTTAAGGGACTGTTGAGATTAATTAAATCATAATAGATATGAAGATGCTTTACAAATTGGAGAGTTTAAGTACACTTAGGTTCTTGCTAATGAAAGTGAGATGCTGTCTCTGTCTCGAAATGTACCTGGGATTGTTTTAATCAAGTATGGTAAGGTGACAGACCTGGAGGCAACCATCTTTGAAAGAAGAGTTTATTTTACTTTTTGAGATGAAGTCTTGCTCTGTCACTAGGCTGGAGTGCAGTGGAACGACCTTGGCTCACTGCAGCCTCTGCCTCTCAGGTTCAAGCTATTCTGCCTCAGCCTCCTGAGGAGCTGGGACTAGAGGCGCCTTCCACCTCGGCCGGCTACCTTTTTTTTTATATTTTAGTAGAGACGGTGTTTCACCATGTTGGCCATGCTGGTTTATTATTACTTAAAGTTCCTGAAAGAGAGCATCATGCCACACACAAAAAATGCAAGGCTATATGGGGAAGTGTCAGAATCGGAACTAGTCAGAAGGCAGAAGGTGTGAGGGGAAGGAAGCATGGCTTAGCACCTTGGTTTCTATGGGAAGGAATTGGTGGGCAGGGTTAGATATACTTGCTCAAATTTAGGATTGGATAGTTTGAATAATTTGTTGGGCTCTGGCTTAATGGCTGGTTCCT